GAAATTTTATTCCGGAGATTTCAGCCTAGAAGATGAGCTCGAAAGTGGTTTACCCACAGTTATAGAGGACGAGGATTTGAGAACCCTGGTGGAGACTGACCAATCACAAATGGTGCGTGGAATGATGGAAAAAGTGGGCGTCGACTCCCATGTGGTTTTTGATGGTTTAACACGTATAGGAAAGGTCAAAAAGCTCAAAAAGTGGTTGACCCACGATTTGAATGATTGACAGAGATCATCACGTTTCAGAGTATATTCTGTTTTGCTTTTGCGTAACTAAAACGTTACCTAACCCACCAAAAAAAGTTCTGCCCTTCACCATACTCTTCAGACCTCTGGTCAACCGACTTTACTCTTTTCGAACACTTCGATAACTATCTCACCGGTGGAACCTACGCTAATCATAACCAGGCAAAAACGGCCTTCGTTGACTCCACCGAATCGCCTGCCGCGAGGCGTCTGAGACCCTAATGCACATGTTATCAGTATGTCCAGCATATGCGGTCTTGGCCTATATCCATCGACATAACGCGGCCCTAAGAGTGCTATATTACCATCTACGACACTCTTACGGTATTGACGAGACACCGGTGTTGCTCTACCCTCCGGGGGATATTGAATCCGTTATGGGGAACGAGAAGTGACAAATTTATTAGAACTATTTGCATGATCGCTGTTTTTCATATAGCCAGTTACGAGCCTGTAGCTTGAAAAATGGCAGTTTCAATTTTTTCAGGTATGTGGGAAGACCATTGTAATGAGTGTAGATAGAAAAACTGAACGATCTCTCAAACAGTGCTGTGCTGTGTTGGGGGGCAGTTATTGTATTTTTGTGTTGGATATTCACTTCATGTTCATTTTCACGAAATCGAACTTTATCATAAAGATACTGCGGTGATTTTTTGATGATTATATTGTGAAATAAGTTTAGAGATTGCAATAAGAAACGATTCTTCATTGACAGCCATTGTGACTGAGAAAGCTTATGAGAAATATGCTGGAACTTACGGATGTCATAGATATAGCGTAAACAGTAATTTTGAACTTTTTGTATCTTGCACAAATCTAAACTATTCAAACAGGAAAAATATACAGGTGAACAGTAGGTGAACTGTGAGAGGATGAGGGTCTGGCATATATTGGTTTTTGTCCGAGTATTTAGGTATGCTCGATGAGGGTAAATCAATCTTAAGTTCGCGTAAGCTCTCTGGAAACTTGCTTTTTGTACCTAAAATTATTATCAAACATCAAGCCAAGATTTGTTGCCTCCGGTACTATATTCAGAGAAATATTTACTTGAGGTAAATACCTTTGGCATGATAACTTGGGACCAAACATAAGGACTTGCATTTTATTAGGATTGAGTTGCAGTTCGTGTTTCACAGAAGAATTATAAATGTTTTGAAGTTCAGTATTGATGTCAGCAACAGCTTCATTCAGCAATTCAACATAAAGTTGAGTATCATCAGCGTCATTACTGAAGTTTTATCCCAACACTAAACCGTTAATTTCAACACCTCGACACACGTAAATAATCTTTCACTTGAAGATGATCACTTGCTGATCAAAACACGTGTCAAGGTTTTAAAATAACGGTTTGATAAAATTCCAGTAATATTCATTACTATCCCGAAGGTTACAAATAGTGCATCACAATTTCATAAAAACGGACAAAACAACCTTATATTACAAAATTGATATATCAAGAAATTCACTTGCAACAAACTTCTCACTATATAAATATACCATTTTTTGAAATTATTTTCACTGTTTTCTCCTTTGTGCGCATCGTTGTTTCGAAGTGAATCGAACATCAATTTCAGGTCTATCAGACCCAAAGAATACCCCTTCTTTCACTTTAACACCATTCTGGGCTAAGCTTTCACAAATTGTTTCATTGAGCCCGACGCAATGTGTAGTGTTGGAGAAATAATCTATTCAGGATCAGCTAAAGTTTTATGCAAAACATTTTTTCGTCGGGTGTCAGAGTTGTTCATGGGGATTTTTGGACCAATGTTGATCCATTAAACATGATAACGTTGTAAATTTTTTTGTTGACCAAGAAGTTCATTGATAATTATCGAATCTCCATACAGCATCCAATCATGAGCTTCATGGGTGATATTCTTTGAAATGTTATCAGTATTTTCTTGGATTTCTTTCACATGGATCGAATGAGCAACCAGCAATGAGACATAAATATTTCCTTTGTGTGATAATACACCTTCAAACATTGTTTTTGATGAGTCTATAGAAAGTCTACAATCTTCCTTTCTATATTCAATACCAAATTCGTTCACTAAACTATCAACATTATGTTATTTAATCTCTTTCCGATGAATCAAAAGTGATAATTCCATAGCAAACAATTCTTCATCAGAATAATTAAAAAACCTATTCTAAAGGACCATATCACCTACTACGAATCCGGACGAATAATGAGTCATCGCACAATTTCTTCGAAGGGCGTTGGCACGAATTTGTTGCTTCGCAGTTCGCAGCTCTCCGCTCCCAGTAGCTGAGAGGCTCAAGGAAATGAATTTTGCTTATAGTAAGGGAACATACTTGAAGACTGACTGTGAATAGAATTACCAAAAAAAACCAATTTGTTCAGGTCAGTCTCAACTCACCAGGATTCTTTACCTATAGTGTAGGTGAGTTGAGACTGACCTGAATGAATTGCTCTTGTAGATAATTTGATTTACAGCCAGTCTTCAAGTATGCCTCCTTACTCTTTGTGGAATGTTTCTCCTCATACAAGAAATTGGGCGATCCAGATATTCGGTTGGTTACCTCGTTCGCGGACAGACAGGGTGATAACAAATTATGAGAAATCCACAATGCTGGAAATTACTTTTCAACAGCGTCTAGCCAGGCGAATTTTGAAACAGCTCAATATCAAGAAGGCGTCTGGCCCTGATGAAGTTCCCCTCATCATACTTAAAGCGGGCGCAAATGAACTTTTTAACCTGTCTTATATAAAAAAAGAGTTTTTCCTTCTTGTTGGGCGATGGCACGTGTTCAGCCCATCCCCGAAAAGGGGTAGGAAAATCTTCCAAATAGCTATAGACCAATCGCTTCGCTATCAGTGATATCATGGAAAAAGCGTTAACCACCATATCCTCAAATATTTGGAAGGCTTCAACATCTTGAGCGATCATCAATATGGCTTTCGGAAACAAGATAAACAGGCGATCTTCTATGTCACCCATATTTGCAATAACGCCATCAAGTAATTTACTAAACTACACCTTACGATTCGACCTCCACAAACTTTATTGAAAAATATACATCACAACATGTTTTGCTAACAAGTAACAAGCTTTATCAAGTGATTTGAATCACTTGATGAAGCTACTGTATTAGCAAAACATGTTGTGATATATATTTTTCAAATAAAGTTTGTAGAGATCAAATCGTGAGGTGTAGTTTATGAAATTACTATGGATCTTCATCAAGTAACGGCTGAATCAATCAGAAAAGCAATAGAGAAACATAAAGAATCAAGAGCTGTTTCGTTTGATATTTTTAAAGCCTTCGACCGTGTGTGGCATGAGGGTTCGCTATCCAAACTTCAATGCTATGGCTTGTCGGATCATGTATGGCTCTCCAGCTTCCTTAAAGAACGTTCCCTGCAAGTGGCCTCGATTGATATCACCCGAATACTGTCACCATGAACTTTAGTGTTTCCCAGGGATCCATATTGTCTCCAACCCCCATTTAATTGCATACCAACGACTTATTTTGTACTGATGACAGCACACTTGTCACGTTATTCCATTTGGATTCCAGGACACATCTTCACCAGCAGCAGGAGGTTGTATATTTCAATGAGGATGTAGAAGTGACTTTCAATTGGGGTGAAAGTAACCAGGTTCTATTCAATGTCACAAAAACTCAGGCATCGGTTTTTTCTTCTAAGAAGATACATGTTTCCTAACCAGATATAATAATGTCGGGTCAGACAATCCCGCTTTCTGCTTCGATGAGTTTGTTGGTGGTTAAAATGGACACCAATATATCTAGGCACGCTAGAATTGAAAGCGCTGGTTCTCAACATCTTGAAACGCTGTTCCGAAACAGAAAACTATATACACCTCAGCTACTTTTGATGCCTCATAAAGCTCAGATCAGATCTTCATTGGAATATTGTTCTCATGTATGGAGCTCTGGATTCCATCCAGAAAAGAGTCATCTGCCTGATTGGAAACGCGAACATCACGTGCAAACTTGATAGCCTAGAACATCGAAGAAAGGTTGGAGATTTGTCTCTCTTCTATAAATACTTTCACGGGAGGTGTTCAAGTGACTTCGTACATTTGATTCCACCAAGAGCGGTACATATCAGAAATACGCGACGGACTATGGATGTTCATTGTTTTGAGGTTCAACTCAGCACACGTCGAACTTCACTGTTCAATAATTCTTTCATCTGGAGAACTGTGCTCGATCGCCAACAGCATATGCGGGAATGAGTTCATTGAATAATCCTTCACTGCGCATGTCGGATACAATCCAAAGCCCTACGTGGTATAAGCCAGGGGAGTAGTTGATTTCTGATAGGTTAGTCCATTAGCTTACAGGGTACTTGTAGTATGCCCCCTCACTATAGGTATGTGATTTTAGTGAATAACAACAACAATTCAACAGAAACTAAAGCTTATCGCCCACTTGTTCAGCACAGCACAGTACGGCCCGTCCCGTCAAAATACGGATAGGATTGGAACAATGTAAATGAATGGACAACTACCCACTAGCCCGGCACGACACAGTCAAGAGGGCTCGCCGCCGGAAAGGATTCCAGCTCTCCGATCCTGGCTGGCAAATGGAACGTGCTGTGACGGACTGGTCAAGTGAGCGCGTCGCCGCCCAGCGCTTGCCAGCATCAACGTGTCCAAAAGTGCCCGTCGCCATCAGGTGACGGACAGCGCCGTGCTGTGCTGTGCCGGACAAGTGAGCGACAAGCTCAATTCAGGAGAAAATAAAGAAACTCTGCTTACCCATTGCGTGGTGTGGTGCGTTGCCAGATTTCCATAGTACACGAATTATTTGAATATAAGCAACGGACATAAAAAGCAGCGGAATCAGGTAGAAAAAGACCATTTTCACAATCATGAAGACGGTGTCTGTTTCTGTGGACCATGTGGGACCGCATTGAGTGAAGTAAACGAAGGACTCCTTGTACGGCATTGCTGTTAGGTATATCGGTTCAGGAATTTCTGGAATTGAAAGAATATAAAAAATAAGAATCTCATAAGAATTTAAGATGTTTTCAGAATATTCAGTCAGTGAAAAAGTCAAGGATGAACTGGATTCATGTAATGGAAATGATGAATATTGGCATAAAATTGTATTGAAAAACAAATAGATTAAACTGCTTCTTTGGGTATTGTCACCTTCCACAATCTGAAAAATATGAAAATTGTAATGGAGAATTGCTTGAAGGTGACTGAAAATGTTTCATGATGAATTCCATCAGTTGGAACTTCCATTGACTGATATTATATAAAATGATTTGAAATCCCTGAAAGAACTAATGAAAAAAGAAGAACTAAAAATGAATAACTGTAAGTAACAATTACATTGAGCAAAAAAACTTGAAATAAAATGATAGTGAAATACAGTACAAGTACGAATAGAACAAATAAAAAAAAAAGATTCCAAGCCAAGTTACTACACGACGTTTCGATTATCTAGTTCTAGGAACTATACATCATCAAAAATTACCTTCAACGAAATGGCTACTGCAAAGCAATGGTGTAACCTACTCTGGCTAAAAGACAGCAGGAGTCTCGCAAGGAGAGAAGCCGTCACAACCAGTGCTTGCACTTTCCTACATCAGAGGATTATCGGAAAGGATGAGAAGAATTGGATCCAAATACAACATCAGAACCTGCTTCAGATCCGGAAACACTATTCGTAGCAGCCTCACGAAAACCAGGCCACCAAACGCGGACTGCAATTCCAAGAATTACATGTATCGGATACCTTGTAAATGCGAAAAATCCTATATTGGTGAAACTAAGAGGCCATTGAATGTTCGCATTGTCGAGCACAAGAAACACACACATCGAGGGAAAACCAGCAAATTAGGAATAGCAGAGCATACTTGGACCCATCAACATAACATCGAGTGCTCCGAGGCTGATATCATACACAGGAAGGAACACTGGTTTAGAAGGAAATTCAAAGAAGCTGCATACATGTTGTCCAACAATGTATTCAGCCAAGCTAGCGTAGAGATACGCAACATATGGAAACCCATATTCAATGAAAAATGGCCAACTTTCGCCAAACGGTCATCTCCCACTAAACCGGTGAAGCGGCAACGTCTAAGTGGACGTACTCGAATGACCCATAAATAGTCATCTCTTGGAGAAATCAGTCTAGTCATCACCCGAAGGATTGTGTATACCAACAATAGAAACGTCTTGAAGTAACTTCGCTTGTATGCTGCGTATAGACTTTTGACCATTTCTGAAGACGGACTCCAAAACTTTAAGATAAGTATTGAATAATTTCTTAGCTATTTTTTTAAAGACAAAAAAGTCACTGATGAAAAGAGTATTTCACTTTGTGAAAAATACTTTAAGTTCACGCAGTTACTTATCGGGGAAAACTGAAAAGTTTGCCCTTTCTACACGTGTATGAAGTTTTTCCTTACAATTTTCATGTTTTTAACATTATGGAAGGTGAAAATACCCAAATGAGGTCGATGAAAACCTGTTTTTTCCCCACAAAAAATGACTTTTTTCCAAGATTGAACTAGTTGTGGACTGTACTACTGTTCTACATATCAGAGAATAAATTCTCAGGACATTTTGAGAAAAAAATAGTTTCTGTGAACATATATGCGGATTGGCTCCATTTCAGAGATACAGGACGTTCCAATTAAAAAAATGGTATTCATAGAATCACATAGATTTCCAAGATCCGTCATGTTGCTGTCATGTTGCCTCTAAGAAATAGTGAAGGTGTCCTGCTGCCATAGGTAATGGCACCCTATACTACTGAACCAGCAGTATGGTAAACATGCCTCTTCTCATCAAACTGGGGATCTCGTCGGTCACCAAGATGCCTTCTTACTCTTGCTCGTCCATCGTGCATAACCAAACAAAAGCGAAATTCATCGCTAAAGACTGCGCGGTTGAACTGTTGAACCCAATTCATTCTGTGTCTGCACCAGTGCAATTGGTTGCGTCGATGCTCGAGAGTCAATGGCAACACCCAAAGGGGATGATAAGAATAAAGTGCAAAACTTCTTATCTGCCGATATACTATATGCATTCCAACAACTGTTCCATGTTCTTATTGCCCTAGTAGAAATGAACCGATCCCTACGCGCGATCGGCGATCCTCACGCGCTGTTGTTCCCCTGCGAGGAACGGTGACCCTATCTCTGTGTTCTTGGCCTTCTTGGGTCCATGCCTGATAACATCTCAGAATACTACGCAAAGATCGATTGGTACTTCTTGAAATTTCTGTAACTGAAAAACCTGCCTTACGAAAGCCAACAATTCATTCTCTCTCATAATACGAAACACTTCACAACAACTTCTTTTACAGTTTAAGCACGATTAAGAATAAAATACGGAGAAAAGGTGAATGCTTACACAAAAAAACAGTTGAAAAACTTATCAGAATAGCTTCCGATACGGCTGAAATTTTACTGGCTTTTTACTGGCCTCAACATAAATACACATGAAAAACATTATTGGAATATTTTGTATATAAATGCGTGTTTACCTTTCTTTGTCACTTAGTGTACATTGAAATTATCAGGTCCAGTGGTTCCAAACAATCAAAAACTGTTAAGAACTTGACAGAAAAAAATTTGTTCAACAATAATCTTAATTTATTAGATTGTAACTTTTCACTTAACAATACAAATGTGAATCAGATTTATGATAACAATAAAGAAAATTGTGAAAACATCTTAAATGAAATTGCACTTTTAAAAACAATTACTTTCTATGAAGAAGATCTGCCTTGGTATGATGGTCAAATCAGAAGGTTGAGTAAAGAAAAAGATTTCGCTTACAAGTTATTTAAAAGAAATGCTAATGATGTTAATTGGCATAATTATGAAAATAAACGTAATACTGTAAGTGGAAAACTCTAAAAAAATCAGTCAATCCAAAACAGTTCACAAACTATTTTGCTAATGGTATTCAATTTGAAAAAAAATAATCAAAAAGTTATCATTAGGGAAAAACAAGAATTGGGTAATTGTTTCAATTCATTTTTTGTAAATAGTATTACAGACATTATTTCTGATATTGAAGATATTGGATTTACCTGTCACATCGACTACGTTGATGAAGAGAGTAATTGTATCCAATTTAGCAAACGAAGGATCACAAGTAGATCCATTATCGAGCAAAATCATAAAGAGTAGTTTTGAAGTAATTGGACATGTGTGGTGTCATTTTGTCAACACCTCGTTACAAAATTGTAGTTTTCCAGATGATCTAAAAACAAGTACAGTTACGGCTATCGAAAAAGTTTCAAACACAAAAAATGTGATAAATATCGGCCAATTAACACTTTACCTTGCGCTGAAAAACTGTAAGAATCAGTAGTATATCAACAACTGTTGGAATATTTCAATAAAAAAGCATAGTATTCACAAACCAATCTGGTTTTAGAGCCAGACATTCATGCGAATCGGCACTTCAGCTTACAGTTACTGAATGGAAAGATAAAATGAGTGAAAGCAAGTTCACTGTAGCAGTATTTTTAGATCCTAAAGGTGCGTTTGAAACGGTTAATCGTGAAATATTAAGTGAAAAATAAAAAAAAAATATGGCATTGAAGGAAAAGTACTTGATTGGATCAGTGATTACCTCACAGGAAGGAAGCAGGTAACCAAAATCAATGAATTTGTATCAACAGCAAAAAGCATAGACCACGGAACGAGAAGTGACAAATTTATTANTTCAATTTCAATTTCAATTTCAATTTCAATTTCAATTTCAATTTCAATTTCAATTTCGATTTCAATTTCCTCAGTGAGCATACCGCAACCAATAATAGTTGCCTTTTTATCTAGTTTTCCATTGTTTTAGATCAAGCAACTGAAAATACAAGTTTTGATCTTCGTCTTCTCTTCACATCTAACTCCGTTCCCGAGAAGAAAAAGTAAAGCCACTCAGTACCACGGAAATGAATTAGATTTTTTATCAATATAAAAAAAATCTTGCTCATTTGTCTCAAATTAGTATCAATTTTTCGCTTTTTCATTGCGATCCAGTACTCGATCCAGTGAGTCAAAAGTTGTCCATCTTCCGAAGCGAAATTATAATTGAAATCTCTTAATGAAATTAGTGACAACGTATGATGGTTTTTTCCTATTTCTTCAGAACCTACTCGACTGTAAATATGCGCTCACATTTCTCTCCATCACTCTCTCTCTCTCTCTCTCTTGCCCCTACAGTAGAATAGGTTAAGTCTAAAGTGAGTGGGTCTATTCGAGCCTCCACCGCAACCCGCAAGGGTTTATTGTGGCTCACACCTATTCACACTTGGCCAAATGATCCCAGCTTCTCAAAGAAGCCGATTAGTTTGTATGGTGAGTGGTAGTTCAGGCCAGATGGTAAGAGAACGTATCTGTCGATCTCTAAGAACCTGATTCGGTCCTCAGCGGGGCAGGCACAAAGTATATGCTCTGCTGTTTCATCATTTTCTAAACAAAGACGACACACACTGTCTTCCGACAGTCTAAGTCTCTGAATATGATGATTCAAGTGCAAGTGACCTGTAAGAAGGCCTGTTAGACATCGTAGTTCATCCTTACTGTAGTCCAACAAAGGTTTGGCATTAAGCTTTAAAGGGCGGATAAAGGCCTTGGAGTGAGCCAATCCTGGAAGATTCTGCCTGAAGTCCATAAATCGTCTTGCCATCCAGGTGTTCAATGTTTGATTGGCAAATCCCAAAGCGATGTCAATGACTGGTTCTGGTCCGATGAAGTCGCTTGCAGCATCCTTCTCTGCAATAGAGTCAGCAGCTTCGTTACCTTCCAGGCCAGTATGGCTAGGAATCCAGACCAGAGACAATCTGTTAAGTCTTAAGTCAATGGCATAAATTTTCGCTTGAAATACAGTGGCATGAGTTCCTAGGCAGGTAGATAGCTCTGTCCTGGGTCTGCGACTGAAAACACCTGCACCAGAACCGGAAGGTGTTTTTGATCCATCTGTGAACCAACAACTATCCGCTCTTA